AACTGTGTGGAGACAGCGAAGGAATCAGACAGGAGACAGCTGCTGCTGCAAGAAGACATGGAAAAGAATCAGGTGCAGCAGCTGCTCGCTGACTGCAGACCCGGGCAACGCGCAGCAAGAAGCCCCTCAGCTGCGCTGCAGCATGCTGACGATGAGTTGGCCAGAGCAATGGGAAGCCGCCTGCTGCTTCTGTGCCCGTCTCTCCTTGTGCTGCAGTAATTGCTGTATCGCTTGTTGTTCCTTTTTCCAGTACGACGGTGGCGTCTGCTGCGCCAGCTCCGTTGCCATTTGCTGCACTATTCCCCGACACATTACGCTTTATTCCTGCTGCTGTTGGAGGTCGCTCTTTTGCCGTTGCTGAGCTATCAAGAGACCCAGTCGCTGCTTCCGAGTCCATTCTCTTTTCTGCTGATGCTGCAAGCGCTACACGGTCTCCACTTGCATCGACCGCGTACGCAAATTCACTCAGTCGCTGCAAGGCTGCCTTTATGCGCACACACCACTCAGGCTGCTGCTGCTGCTGCAGTTGCTCGTTCACGCCGATGCTGCTCGAGGGACCCTTCGTCACAGAAAGAGCGTCTATGGCCACAAGCGCTGCAGCGAGGGCTAGCACGCCGCCAGTATCTCCTGAAGCAGCAGGAGATACAGCCGGAGCAGCAGCTGTTGCTGCTTTCGGCAGCTCTTTTTCCAAATCTGCAGCTGTTCCTGTGAAAGCCGAGACGGCTGACTCGATAAGGCCCGCAAAGTGTCCCTGGAGACCGGTGCTGGCCAAGCGCGCAGCCGCGGCTGCGTCTTCGGTTGTCGTCACTGCTGCTGGTGCTGCTGCTGCAGCACCGGCAGCGCGCGCTGCCGCCTGGTAGAGGCTGCGCAGTAGGCGCATGGCCTCGAGTGGAGAGACGCAGTTTGCTGTTCCATAACAAAGCCGTGAAGGGAAGACAGGGACCTCCAAGGGGGACAGCAGCAAAGTGAAAGCAGAGGCAGCAGCAGTCCCTGGTGGCATCATAGCCACGACGGAGAAACCTCGCTGCAGTAGGGATAGAGCAGCCTCACACAGCGGGCCAGAAGGTCTGTCATCCTCCGCTGCTTTTGCGGCCGGCCGTGCTGCATCTACAGGAAGCCACAGTGCGGCTCCAGAGACGTCTCGAATCGCACCAAAAAAGGCAAAGGCCGATGCCTCTTCACCTAGAACTTCCGGGTTCTGCTGTAGAGTAGCAGAGACGCCCCAAAGGAAGTTAATGCAACAATAGACAACCCTTCCTGCTGCACCTCCAGTTAGCGGTACGGACGCGAAATCTACCGTTGATGCTGATGCGTCGGCTGCAGCCTGCGCCTCTTCAACCCCATCGAAAGGGGTCATGCCTTGCTGCGGCAAGCTAGCAGTAGCAGGAGCCTCGCCGCTGTAGTCGTGTACCTCCAGCTTCGCCGCTGCTGCTGCCTCAGCTGCTGCTACCTCAGCTGCTGCTCCCGCGAGACGTCCCGCAGCCTCACAGGTCCGGCGCAACACAACATGATAGAGACACCCAACATCCGCTGAACCTTCAGCAGGAACCACAGGAGCCGATGCGTCAGCAGGGGCAACAACCGGTGCTTGAGCGCCAGATGAGCTTGTCGGGCTATCTGCTCCGAGCCAGTCCTCTGTCCAATCTTCTTCATCGAGTTGGTGCTGCTGCTGTTGTTGTGGGAGCTGCTTCCGTTGCTGCTGTTGAGGATTCAGCGGGAAGCAAAGAGATGGCAACAGAATACCTATCAACTCTAACCTCCAGCACACCCCGTCTACGGCTGTCTCTGACCAGTCGGCATCAGCAGGGCAAGATTCACAAGCCGCTGCGGCTGTCTCGACGGGCCGCAGCAGCGCATCACTCAAACCGTTCAAAAGGTGGCAGAACGCCTCAAGTAGTGCCGCGCCTGTTGCTGTTGCTGCCGCTGCTTCTCCTGCAGCTGCTGTTCCTCCTGTGGAGTTGCTACGCGAAGCAGCTGCCAGGGCAGCAAACGCAGAAGCTGCAGCAGCTTGCCTATCGCCGCTTTCGGTGGAAAGCGGACGACATAGCAGTGCCAACCCCTTCAGCAGCTGGTGCTCCTCTTGTTGTTGCTGTTTTTGGCACTGTTGCAGCTCCTGCTGTTCTCGCTGACGACTCAGCTTCAATAGACGTCCCATGAGATGCAGCGCCAGGGGGACAGCGCAGGGCTCTATTGCTGCAACCCACTGCTCGCGCTGCTCCACAAATACATTCACAGCGGCAGTGGGAGTGGAAGGTGGAGCACCAGTAGTAGGTGCTGCAGCAGCAACAACGTGGGCAACCAACCGACAGGCCAGGAGGAGACGACGGTGCAGCAGCCAGTCGGATTGAGAAACTTCTGGCGTTGCTGCTATCGCTTCTGCCACCAAAGCTGCTGCGGACTGCACTACGTCACCTAATGGCAGCAGAAGCTGCCCCACCAGCCGCCAGGGGCTAAGGCAGCAGCCGGCCTCGGCGAACCTTAGCATTACCTCCAGCGCCATGTCCGTGAGTTGCTGTTGCTGCGGCTCTTGCGCTTGCAGCAGCTGCTGCTGGTGGTTTTCCTCATCATNAATCGCATCCCCGCCAGCTGCTGCTGCTCGTAGACGCAAAAACGCAGCGCGACGCAGTGCCATAGCCATTTCTCCTTCCGCGGCGACGAAGGCTGTTGCTATTGCTGCTGCTACCGCTCCTGCTGTTTCTGGCAACTCAAGCAGCTCAGGAGCTGAAGCCTTTGCGCAACAGCGCAGCAGCCCAGAAACTGCAGAGGAGACGCCCACCTCATATTGCTGCAGCTGCTGCACTGGAAGCTCTTGCGAGCCATCGCGCGGCTCTGACGAATCTCCAGTCAGTCGCTCCAGCAGCAGCAGCAAAATCCGTAAACCCCGAGGAGAAAGAGAAATGCCCCCATCGCTGGCCAGTCCACTTTGCTGCTGCTGTTTCTGCTGCTGCTGTCGTATCCCCTGCCACAGCAGCTCGCAGGCAGCTCGGACAAGCAAAGGAAGACAATCAATGAGGAAGGATCCTGCTGGTGTTGCTGCTTCCGATCCAGCTTGCTTTGTCTGGTACACATCAGCAGCAGGAGCAACCCAGGAGTGGTGCTGCTGCTGTAGCTCCGGGAGGGTCAGCAGCAACTCCAGACATTCTGCTGCAGCTGAGCGCACGACGGGTTGCACTTCCGATTCGTTGCAGTCGTCGTTGGTGCTGCCTTTCGTATCAGCGCGACAACTTTCATGTTGGGTTCGTGCTACTGCAGGTGCAGATACACCCGGCAAGGGATTCCAAACAAGGCCTGTGAGAGCCGGGAGAGGGCGCGCTGCAGCAAGAGGAGAGAGCAGCACCTTGGGACTCTGAGGTAGCAGTTGCTGAGCTCGTTGGAGCAAGAAAGGCGCGCTAGAACCATATCTGTTGCTGTAGCTGCTGGGTCGCAAAGTACAGAGCTGCTGCGCTAAAGGAGACGAAGCAGGGACGCAACCACAGCACAAAGACGTAAGAAGCGATACCCACTGCATCAAATTCCTCGGCCCCCATATACGGACTTGCTGCTGCAGCACCTGCAGCAGCAGCTGCCGCTGCAGCGCGTCGCATTCGGAATTGAGAGCCTCCAGCAGGAAGATAGCCAGTTGCGGGTCTCCTGCTACAGGTGCAGTGGCTGCTGTTACTACTTCTGGAGGTGCAGCAGCTGCTGCTAATGCGATTGTGGGGCCCCACATCGTCTCGCTTAGTGGACGTGACATCGATAGCAAACTCCGCGCCGCTTCCCTTCGTACAACGAGCGATGGCGAGGCAACTGCAAACTCTGTTACAGCAACTGCAGCAGGCAGCAGAGCGCGAAGCGACAACGCTGCAGCAGCAAGAGTGCTGTCCTCCCCGTCTGCTGGTACTGGTGCCTCCTGTGCTATCGATGCCGAAGACTGAATCCACATCAGTGCCGTAAGGCACCGCAGCGCAGGAGCGGCAGCAACGACCTGCAGAACGATTCCGCTGCTGCTGCTGCTGTTGCTACAATCTGCAACGCGCTGGACTGAAACAGAAAGTAGGTATGAGGCTTCCCTAGCCTGCGCGCAGCAGCAGTTCCAGAAGCACAAAATTTCTAACATAGGCGGCATATCAGCACCCGAGCTGTCCTAAGAAAGCCGAAATATGACGCTTGCAGTCGTAGTGGCCACATTCTAAACCTCGCTGCTCCACGAGTAACAGCATGCGTCCCCTGCACGGTGCCTTAGACCCGCCCCTTTCTGCGTGTCCAGCTGCTACAGAACACTTACTGCATGCGATATAAACTCCTCAGTGGCAGACAGTAGCGCATCAGGTCCGGCCACAGCTGCTGCTGCAGCGTGCTGAAGCAGACACTCCAGCAAATGTCTCGCCGCATCAGCAGCCAGCACTGCAGCACGCGAAAGGTGAAACTGAGACGAACGCAATAGAAACAAAAACTGCATAGCCCTAAAGAGCTGCTGCTGCAGTGCGTTTTGCTGCTGTTGCTGCAGCTGCTGCGGGTCTTCGGGGCGCTCCGAATCAGCCAGGCTTTTGCTGGTTTCTCCTCCTGATGCCGTTGCGTATGTCGTTGAACTGGCTGCTGCTGCCGCATCTGAAGCAACAGCAGGAAACGTTGCCCCTAAGAAGCGAATAACGCACAGGAGAGCGCAGGAAGAAGATACATTTGCTGCTGCTGCATTGTCTTTTGCTGCTGCTGCGGCCGCAGTGTCGCAAGCAGCAGCAACGACCTGTTCTGCCGCTTCAATTGAGGACGTTGCAGCGAGAGACAGCTGCAGGAGGTCTTGACAGCACTTGCTGCTTCCATCAGCAGCTGCTACCTCGGAAGAACCACGACGCTGCAGTAGGGGCAGCAAGCGAGCCGCAAGAAGAGAAACACTGCACAGTCGACTCGAACTCATCTGCAACCGGACTTCTCGTTTCTCCGTCTCTGCTGCATTCAAAGGCATTTGTAAGAAGGCTTCTATGTGCTTGTTTACAGCTTGCAGACCTGTTGCTGCCGCTGCGTCCGGTTGCTGCTGTGGCGAATCTGCAATTCTCAGAAACCAGTACAGACCCCCAGCAACATCCGCATATAGAAGCCGTTCAAGCGGCGTTGCAGCCGCAAGGGCCTTCTCGCAGCAGCACCACAGAGTGTCCACTACTGATTGCGACAACTGCTGCTGCTCGTGCCCCCGCGTGGCCGAGCATAGCAAGGCTTGTTGTGCTCTGAAGGCGTCGGACAGCACCGCCGCAACAATACCCAGTTGTAGCACGCTGATTTCGTTGTCTTCTGACGGAAAGGCACTTGGGTCACGTTCGGGAACAAAGCATGCTTCAGCAGCAAAAGGTGCAGCTGGAGCAGTGCAAATGGTCTTCTTCTTTAGCCGTGGAAGACCGAAACGCTGCAGCAGCTGCTGCGGTCGGCTGCCCTTGATGCTCCCAAATGGTCGGAGATGAACCCCGGTAGAAGAGCAAGCTGCTCCTCCCTTTCCCGCCTCAACTTTGCTGCTGCGGCGATTGGAACGGACAGCGGGAGCATCAAGGGACGCAGCCGGAGGCAACTGCCTCCCCCAGCTGCAGCAGGCCGCCCATGCAGTCTGCTGCACTGCTGCCTCTGCTGCGGGCGAGCAAATGTTGCAGCTGAAGAGCAGACGGCGCAGCAGCAGTCCCCCCTGCAAAACGCGAAGAACGTGTGGCGGGTAGTCTGCTCTCCATCCCGTTTCTGCTGCACTAACTGCTGCTTCTGCGGGGTCCCTTGCTGCCACAAGTGCTGGCAGCCGCAGAGCACTGAAAGCAGCCGTAGTCACATCAGCAGCGCAGCGCCACTGTGCCTCCCAAATCGTGGGCCCCCCCAGGCTGTCGACTGCAATGCCGCACCCTATGAAGAGAGCTGAATCCACTTCTCCCCTCTGCTGCTGTTGCAGTAGGAGCTGCTGTAGAAGAATCTGCGGCTGCTGTAGCTTCTCCAGAGGAGCAGCACGCAAAATTGGAGCGGGCGCTACGGCGGCGGGGCTGATGCAGCAGGCCACTAGAGCTGCAGGAAATAGAGCAGCTGCTTTGGCGGGAATTGTTACAGCAGATAGACCCATCTGCAGCAGCAGCTGCTGCTGCTGCTGATTCCTGCAATGGATCTCGATGTGTGGCAAAATGGACAAAGCCTCGAGTGCCGCTGCTTCTAGTCCAGCGTGTGCAGCAGCAATAGGCGCAGCAGAGCCCCTGCAGAAGCAACGGCAGCACACATGTTGCTGGTGGCGCGGCTTCTCCTGTTCCTGCTGCTTTTTCTCCGGCGATTCTTCCTCGAGAACTATCATACTTTGCAGAGAAAGCTCCTTGTTGTTGCTGCTGTTGCACCGGCAGCAGCACAAAATGGAAGAAGCTTCAACAACCAATGTCACAAAATCAGAGACAGCATCCGCATCAACCGTCCTTGTTGTTGCTGTTGCTGCTGCTGCCGCTTCTGGCTGTTGTCGGACGAATGCAGCGAGGGCCTTGAATGCGCAGGTGAGTTCTAAGAGCAGGCATTTCGCTGCTACTGTTGCTGCTGCTGCCGTTACCGTGTCGTCTGCTGGCTCTTCTGTGGCTGCACATGCCCCAGTATCTGCTGTAATAGGAGCAGCAGCTTCGGGTGTCTGCTGCGTGGCTGTTGGATCTCCTGTTGCCTCCGATGTCGTAGCAGCGACGTGCAGAAGACGGTTAATGGCGCTTTGAGGGTCACTAAGAGAAAGCGTTTTGCGGCTAGAGCGTAGGAAGCAGCAAAATAACGGCGATAGCAATACCGCCTGCTCCGTATCCTCGTTCCCGACAGGAGGCGGAGCAGCAGCCATTGCTGCTGCACAAGCTCCAGAAGCAACAGCGGGCTGCTGCAGCAAGGCCTCTGCCAACAGGAAGAAGCATGCGCGAGCCTCCGGTCCTCCCCGTGACAGCAGGCCCAGTAGAGCTGCAGCGCCGGCAACAACAAAGGAAACAACAACAACATTCAACAACAACGGTAGCGATCGGAAGCAGCAAAGGCAACGGCGCATGCGGCTGCAATCCAGCATCTGCGCCAGCTGCGCCATCTTCGAGAGGGTGTGCTGTGATGCGAACGTTGAGTCGTACCGGTGATATTGCTGAGGTCTCCTTCTTCCTTTGTATGTGCTGCTGCTGCTGCAGCTGACCTTGCAGCTTGCGCTGTGGTCATTGCTGCAGGCACAGCTGCTGCTGTTGCTGCTGTAGCTGGCTGTTGCGATTCTGTGGCAGATGCGTTGGCGATGGAAGCGGCGAGGCCGAGACAGGCACCCCACAGCCCTGCAAACTGGACGGCGTCGAGTCGCCTGCTCTGCGTATTTGTGTTCTGGAGGGCTGCCTGGGCCGCNAAACAGCTATCTGGCAGCGCGAGAGACACCGGGCACGCCAAATGCAGGCAGCTGCTTGCCGCTGCACTGCAGGCCAAAAGGCGCAGCGCAGCTGCTGCTGCTGCTGCACGTGCTGCGTTGGATTCTTTACAGTAAGGATAGAGACAAAAGCCGCATACAGTGAAGACGGGAAAGTGACTACACCCGCCTCTCCCACGGACACGATAGCAGCTTCTAATATATTTAAGGCAGCCCGCAGCAGCAGCGGATGCGTGAAGCTGCCGCAGCTGTTACTGCTGCCAGCAGACCCTCTTGATTCAGTGGGCTCTTGCGGCGCTGCTGCCCCCGTTGCTGCGGCAGCTATGGCCCGACCCAAGCAATCCACCAAGCCCAGTTGCTGCTGCGGCTGCAGCAGTGGCAGGAGCTGTTGCGCTGCGTGCGATACGAGCGCCTGCGAGTGAAGCGTCTCCAGAGAAAGACAGCACGCAGCAGGACGAAGACTTCTGCTGCAGCTGCAACGGCAACTACAGGTCCCAACGCACTGTTCCTGCAAGCCTTTGCTGGATCCTCCCCTTTTGCTGCAACTGCAGCAGGACTCAGCTGCCGCCAGTTGCGCCAGCAAAGTGAACAGAGACTCAAGGGACATGCTGACGAGAGAGACAGGAGATAGACACCGCAGCAAGAAGCGGCAGAGACACGGCACAGCAGCAGCAACTGCCTGACGCAGCAGACCCTGCTGCCGTGAATCTACATGCAGCAGCAACGGGTCCTGCTGCTGCAATTGCAAAACCGGAATGTAACTTACTGCTGCTGCAGACCCCGCTGATCCCTTCTTGCCATCAGTTGTTGCCCCCGCATGCAGCAGCAGCCACTGTCTTCGCAGCAAGGCAAAGGCATCCTCAACGCTGCGCACCTCGGAATAAAGACCCTTACTAGCAGCCGTTGCCGCTGCTGCTGTTGCTGCAGCTGCAGTCATACACTGCCCCAATGAAACATATGAAAAGTCCGCTGCGCTGCCGCTCGTCGCGGGAAGATCCGCTTGTTCGTCGAGAGCGTTGAGTGAAACCGGCTGCTGTTGCTGTTGTTGCTTCGCCTGCTGCTGCTGCTTCAGCTGCTGCTGCTGTTTCGCCTGCTGCTGCTGCTGCATGCCTGTTACGGCCTTGGCAGCCAGAAGTGCCGCAAGTGCTGCTGCTACATGCGGAACGTTCTCCTGTGCATCTTCAAGTATATCTTCATTCTCCGCTGTAGCAGCATGGGCGACAGGCTCTGGTGCTGCAGCAGCTAGAGCGGCACTAAAGAGGGCGTCGCCATGCGGTGGAGATACACCTCGAGGGAAGGCCCACACGACTTGTTGCAGCAGCAACAAGGCTTCTCTAGTAGCTTCAGCAGCAGCAAGTCTGCTGGTTCCCCTGCTGTTGTTGCTCGTTTTGCTGCGGCTGCGGCTGCTGCTGCGGCCGCCAATGCTGCATCGAAGGCAGTCCAATGTCACGCTGAAGAGCTTCCCCGCCAGTGCTTCTCCGCAGGCACCTGTTGCCGCAACAGCGGTCCTCAGAGCCTTAGCTACTGCTGCTGCTGTTGCCGCAGCTGTTGCAGCTCCAGGTGCTGCTGGTGAGTGGAGCAGCTTTGATCCGACAGCAACAAGCAGCGGTAGCAATGGAGACAGCGCCTGGGGGCATGCCTTAAACAACTCCCCACATAGAAGCAGCGGAGGCAGAGGAGACAAAACTTTACTAGCGCCTGCTGCAGTTGCATCTGCTACGCCTGCTGCAGCGGCTGTCGGGGGTGATGCGGCAGCTGCAGCAAGTGGAACAGAAACACAGTGGGATAAGTGCAGCCCTTCACCTGCTGCTGCCAGAAGCCGAGAAGCAACACGATGCCAAGCCCCACAATCTTCAGTGGAATGCACAAGCAACAGCAGCAGCCGCAGCAGCTGCTGCTGCAACGCAGGAGGAGGCTGCTGGCAGCAGAGCAGCACCAATGAATCCTCCAGCTGCTCTAGCACCTCCGTTTGTGTTGTGGCGTCGCTTTCCCACTGCCACACCCATTCCTGCGCCTCCTG